CCTCATTGTAAGAACTCCATTGAAAAATTAAATGTATTGGATATTTAACGAAATCAGAAAATTTATTTAGACTCCCAGAAATTGTTATGCTTTACCATACTTTCTGTTTCCAGTAAAGTTATGTATTACTTTCATGATAAGAGGAAAAAACCCAGACTTACTCTTTGAAAAGAACAAATACTATTGAAAATCCAGTACAAGAAAATTGGACCAAGACAGCAAAATGCACATACCACTTTCTCCTTTCTTTGCAAATCACTCTTAAGTGTCAAAAGAGATATCTTTTTAAAGGAGTATATCTAAAAACCACTCAACATTTCCATTAGTAGAACAGAAATTGTTGGAAGTTCCTGGAATATAAAATGCAGGCAAGAATGATTTGATCAAGGCAGAAGATAACTGAGCCTGAAAAAAAAGGCACAAGAGGAAAATGAGTAGAAGGTAAATGTTTATTCAGAGAAAGCTCATATCCAGAAGGAAATAAAAATATCAGAGAGGCACCTCCAACTCAGAAAATGACCAAAGGAACTGAAAAACGGTTTTCCTTCTTGGAACACTGATGGTGAATTCTCAGTGACACAATGACTGCCTTCATTGTTGGTGGAGGCTGTCCTGGTAAGGGTGTGGTAGTGGAGAACAAAAGGAAGACTGAATTACACTTCACTGGGCTTTCTAAAAGGATAAGGACAGGAGTATATAAAGGGAAGTTGGTTTATTTATTCCTGAAAAGGAAATAAATGGCAGTTCTTGGGGACTTTTGTTACTTGGCATTGATGCCGTATTATGTCTTAAAGTGAAGTGTGATAACCGATAGATCTCACCACTAACATGGGCCCTCAATTCTACTCACAGGAGCGTTCATGGAGAAAAGAGGTCTACACAATTGTATAGAAAGCATGCAGTCTTACCTAAACAAACGGAGCAAACAATCTAGTCCTCCATTAAGAAAGACATTTACGCTGGGCAAGGTGGCTCACACCTGTAACCGCAGCGGCTCAGAGGCTGACACAGGAGGATCACAAGTTCAAAGCCAGCCTCAGCAATTTAACAAGGCCCTAAGCAACTCAGTGAGACCCTATTTCTAAATAAAATACAAAAAATAGGGTCAGGGATGTAGCTCAGTGGTCAAATGCACCTGAGTTCAATCCCCAGTTCCCACCCGCCACCCCCATCAGCACCCATAGATCAAAATCAATTAAACAATGTCAATAAGAAATAAATGCTGCTAAAAATAAATGCATCACTCTGAAGGAAACAGATACTTCAAGGAAAGGGAGAGTACTTTAGAATTAAAGGTTTAGTTATTAATACCTTCAGAGTGCTAGGAGACTATTGTAGCCAAGAAAGAGAAACAGATTGCTATAATAAAAGGAGAAAGATGGAACTTCAGTAAATTGGAAATATGAATGTTGCATTTTTTAAAAAAATTAATGAAAATCACAAGTTAATATAACCATAGCCAAATTACTAACATAATAAATGAAGAGATATCGAAGAATGCAGAACAAACCCTGGGAAAATTTAGGAAATAAAAGAGAACAATTAAGACACACAAAGGTTCCACTCAATCAATGCAAAATAAGGATATCAGAAGGAGATCACAGAGAAAGTAAAATGAATAAATACTTGTTTTAAATGTTTTAGACAAAAATATATAGAACCTAGGGGCTGGGGTTATAGCTCAGTTGGTAGAGTATTTGCCTTGCATGTGTAAGGCACTGGGTTTGATCCTCAGCACCACATAAAAACAAATAAATAAAAAAGATATTGTGTCTGTCTACAACAAAAACAATTTTTTTAAAAAAGCATATAGAACCTAAAGAAAGAATCAGCTCTCAAATTGAAAGGGCACATTCCAGTACTGATTAGGAAGATTTTTTTTAAAGGTAAAACTGGTAATATTTCAAGATTCTAATAGTAAAAATAAAATTCGAAAAGTTTCCACTCCATCAAAAGACTGAGACATTGTTCTTTGCCTTAGTGATCATGCATGAGAGAAGATTATAGAAAGTATCTTTGAAATTTTGAAGGAAAGTGATTTTGAGAATGGAATTCTATGAGTAAAAGAAAAAATTAATAACTAGAGTAATCTATATATCTATTTTTCAAATTATTAAATTTATATGCTCACTGGGTCAAATTCATATATGTAAAATTAATGCAAAGTCTTATCATTCTTCACTAAGAAAGTGAAATGGGAAAATTTAGTTATATTCAATTAATGTAGGTAAATGATTCCATAGAAAGGCCATAAAGAGTAGGAAGGGGAGAGGAAGAGAAAGGAGAGGAGGAGGGCAGAGGGAGGAGATCTGGACAGAGACACAGGAAAGAGGAAGGAAGATGGAATTGTCATTTATGCTTCAATTTCAAATAGAAAACTAAAAAGGCTGAGGTCAACACTTAGAAACATCCAACTTTCTTTTACTTGCAGAAACAGATGCTGATTTTTTTAGGGAAAAAAAAAAAGCAAATCTGCAAAGATGTTATCTAGACCTTATATATTAGAATTACACAACTTTTTTTCCCCCAAAGGCTAGGTTTATATGGCTTTTTACGGTTTTAACAAGAAAAGATCTGAATTATTTTAAGCAGTCTAGACAATGTCAGGCATTTACTGACTCTCATTTCTCTGATTCCCCCATTTTCAAGTACAGCACAAGAATTCTCTACTCCCTGGAATGGATAATATATGGTCTTTTCTCTGTCTTCAATGCCTGCCCCTCCCCCTCGTTGCCCTCCATCTTAGTTACCATTCTCAATTCATTCTAGACCTGGGGCTTTAATAACAAGAGAGAAAGGAAAGCAAACCCAAGGAAGAGCCCTGGGGCCAACCTCCCCTCCACAGATACATCAACTAGACCCTTTCTGTCCTTCCCAGAGTTGATGCTGAACAGTAGGTGGCCCAAATGTATATCAGAGAAGGAAGACTCATTTCTTTTGACACTCTGGACCCAATGAGCAATTTCCCATTTTATCTTTCTCTTCATGGAGGGTTAAAGTAAATGAAGAGGGAGGTACACAATAAAGGAACTCATGTTACTAGAAGTCCAGAGAAAGTAAATGAATAAATACTCGTTTTAAATGTTTTAGACAAAAGTATATAGAACCTAGGGGCTGGGGTTTATAGCTCAGTCTTAGGAAACATGAAAGAGTAGTTACACATTTCCTGAGCAACTGGAGGATTTAGGAGAAATCTACAGACCTTTTTCTATTTCATAGTTTGATAGAGTAGAACCAAAAATTTAGTCTCAAATAGCTGGAAACAGATGTGAGAAAGGAAACATGTAAACAAAGTGTATAGGACCCTCACAACTATGATCCTGAAAGTAACTAAAAAAATGACCCAGGGAATTTTAAACATTAGGACAAACCTTTTTTTTTTTCCTTGATAGGCATCTTGGCCAGACACCTGTGTTTCAGGTTTTGGCCTCAAGTTGTAGGATCCATCTTTACTCAATTACAGACATAGAAAAATCCCACCATCCAGAAAGACATGGGTTTCAACTAAGTTGAATGTTTGGATATCACAGAACCTAGAATGCACTTACTTCAAGGTGTATCTGCTATCACAATAGACAGAAGATTCTAGAACTGTGCTGTTAAATACATAAGCTATAAGCCACAGGTGACTGTTTAGATTTAAATCAGTTAATATTAGAAAAACTTAAAAATTCAGTTCCTTCTTTTACTCTAGCCACATTTCAGTTGCCAGTTGCCACATAGGACTGGAGACTACAACATTGGATAGAGAGATATTTCTATCAATGTAGAAAGTCTAAAGGGTAGTATTATTCTAAGACACCATTACCACAAATGGAAAGGTCAACTATGCAGATGTGAGCTTCCCTGGCAACTATCCTTGATGATTAATATATGTAAGTGAGAAGATGACTTACAGACAACCTAAAGTCATTCAAATTGATGACTAAGTCTTCAAGCATGATTCCCACTAAAGATCCTTGAAGTTTTAATTTATGTCATTATTGTTATTAAAACAAAACAGATGAGAAACCTAAATCAGAATGATTAACTAAACTGCCCCAGGCAACTTTTCTGTCACTGCAGAAGAATATCAAATTTCCTTTTTTCTATATACTAATTACCTCAAAAGTTCCAAGAATCTTATCTGCATAGAACCTAATATAGGACCTTATACAGAGCATGTATTAATAAAGTATTTGTTAAATCAATGAAGCAATTACTGCAATATAACACTGCAGTGGTGCAATGAATGAATTAAATAATTGTAAGACAAGAAATAGCAGGAGGAGAAAAATGACAAACTAGGAAGCAAAATCATAGCCTTGGAACTTCTAAGGGTAAGCTGGAATTTCAGTCATTTCTCATAAAACATGGGATGCTTCCTTTTTATGATGTACTGAATCAATCTCTTGCCCACTTAACTAGTGCTATTATCTTTCACTTTAATTTTTTTTAGTTGTAGATGGATACAATACCCTTATTCTATTTATTTATATTTTTATGTGGTGCTGAGGATTGAACCCAGTGCCTCACATGTGCTAGGCAAGTGCTCTACCACTGAGCCCTAACCCCAGCCCCATCTTTCACTTTTTAGCCATGTTATTTTTTCTGAACATACAGTCTACTCTACCGTCTTCCCCCCACTTCCATGTAAAATAACCCACCCACTTTCCCACAAAGTCTGACCACAGAAATCTCATTCAGTGCTTAGATTTAAGTAAGGCACTGTGTATCCATACATAAATACCCACTTCACTACCAAAGAAGTTACTTTCAAACTTCAACACAGAAGAAAATTAATTTGGTTTGGAGGGAGAATGAAGTTATGAGAAATGAGGAATGATCATTCAAGTTCAAATTTATAAAATGCTGCATTATGGTGTCTGTGTTAGTTTTCTCTGACAACTGATATGGAACCAGCCTTTTCTGATATTTTTTTCTATTCTTACCATCTCCTCTTGCCGCCCATCCCCCCTCAAAATCTAAGTAACACTTTTTAAGCCATATTCATTACTTACAGGAGATTCACTAACTCCAAAGATGTCTCTGACATCCCTGACAGACTGCTTATTCTTTTTTCTCAGGGTTTGGGTATAGGTATTATATCTCTTTTTCACCGCAGCTGCTTGGGTTCGAGTCAATGTAGAGAGCAGGGCTTTCCCATCTTCCTCTTCGTTGCCTGAGATCAAAGTTGATAAACCCACATCTTGCAGCCACTCAGCTTCAAGTTCTCCTTCTGTAACACAACATGACCAAGAGGAGATTAGGACCTTTTCCATATGTGTGTAACTATAGGTCTGTGGACATAAGACAATAAGAAATATCAGTAAGCAATATGAGATGTCTCATTTTATTACAGTAATTATGGGAAAGGATTATAAGAATAAATGAAAAGTCTTAATTTTAAAATGCAATACAAAGTCCAATTATAAAATATTGTCCAGTAGAGCAAAGTTGACTGGCCAATTTAGAAAGATAATTTTCCTTGCCAGAGGGTTAAACATAAGCCATAGGTTAACTGCCAATTTCAAATATATGATAAAATATAACTATTAAGACTAAAACAATAACTGAAAAAGTATGGCTTAGTGGAGCACAAAGGGTTTGTAAATCACTCAAATCCAAGGACAAATCCTAGTACTACCACTGATTTTAGTAAATTGATTAAATACCTCCAGCAGTGTCCCCTCAGCAAAATGGGTGTAGTGATTGATGTTGCCTTGGAATTCATTTTCATGGGCTTAACTTCTTCATGCCACAAGCAGGGCTCAGTCACCTTGGACAGCTTCCAGTTTTCCACCTCTTCCCAGTTCCTCCAGATACCTGCCTTGTACAACTTTTTCCTGGTTACCACCTGCCTATCGGATAACAAGATGCAACCTACTTCACTGGCCCTGCTGGCCTTACCCCGCTCACGGCCTGTGTGGAGATACCTTTTAGTGACGACCTTTCAGTCACAGCCTCAATCCATGTTGCTCTGTGCCTGCTTTTCTCAATCTACCAATAGAACTCACCCTGGAACATTCTACTTGGGTGACATCCTGGACTCCAATAAGGGCTTCAGCCCCCTGGTACCATGCTCCTTCTTTCTTGCTCCCCCTTCACTGGCTGAACATATGGGTCCTGGATGACTTCCCCTCTTCCTTTTGTCCCTGTCAGGCGTAGCCCTCTCCTCTCTAGGACCTGTTAGTAATACACTGCTTCTGTTACTTCATGTGTCTTGAGTTGCCTCTTCTGATCTCATCTGACCAACACATGCAAACCTAATTTCCTTCCCAGTCAGGGGTCTCCTGAAATGGCTATTTTGGTAGGAATAAACCGGACGTAGGTCAGACAAGAGCCACAAGGGCACCTGCCATATAAACAAGTTTCCTTTAAAAAGGTCAACTCTTCATAGTGTGGTAGAGAATCATCTCATGAATAAGTACCTTGTAAACATTTATAATCATGTGCCTTGGAGTTTCATCAGGGCAGGGCTTGATTAATAGCCACCATTTTGTGAGTGACCACAATACCAATAACAAGAGTATCAACAATGGGAACAATAATAGCAAATTAGGTAGACTTGATGATTTTTTTTAAAGCAATGCATTTATAAAGACAGAAAAGAACCTGGAATAAGATATTCAATAAGTATTTATTTTCCTATTTCTCTCCTTACTCTGAGCATGGGGCAATAATTCTACCCTTTTCAGAAGGTGATTTAAAAATGTAAGATTCATCCATGAGCATTAGCTGCTATTATAAACCTGAGGTATAGAAATGAAAGAAATTCAGGATAATGACGTCCCATAAAAGCAAATCTATTATATGCACATTTCTAGGTACCAGGCAAAACAGGCATTGCCTGAATAAAGCTTGTTTAAAGAACAGATTAGACTGATGTGTAAACACATGTCAAAGCAGCAGTCTAGGAGTCCTGGACTCTGCGTACATGATTGCATCATTGATATATAAACAAAGTCTTCTAATGTGCTTTACAGGCCCAATTTCTTAACTAGGCAAATATTTTATTTGCTATCTTGTTTTTATTGTTTGTTTGCTTTGTAAACTGTCCCTTTAACAAAAAAAAAAAAATGAGGTGCATTTATGGTTAGCAGCTCTACTCTAACATAATAATCCTTTTAAATCAGTGAGTTGTGACTTGGAAGTTTCTCATAAGCCTTAGGTAAGATTTTCATTTCTGAAGACAAAAATTATACATATAGTTTAATATGAAAGCTTTAAATTGTATGTTTTCTCTTCAACTCTGTAAGGAGAGATGACACAGTAGGAGGAAGGAATAACTGGTAGGTTAGGGTTAACATAAACTCGAGGTGGAAATGGTATATGTAGAATGTTTTCCTAGGTAAGAAACATCTACAGCAGATATCAGCATGTCTCCTGCTTGCTAAATTACATACTAGGCAATCCTATTCTCATTACTCCAGTTGTTAAATGTGTAACTGCAGCCTAGAGCACGCCTTTGAATTTCAGCTCCATGTACCAACATCCCCTTGGCTGTATCAATCACAACATATTCAACACGTTCAAACCTGAACTCATCCATCATTCAACTCTAGGCCTCTTTCACTATTGCATGTTTCAATAAATAGAATTTCTATTCTAGTAATTAGGCAAATGAGTAACTTGGGAGACATTCCTGACATCTCCTTCTTTATGGATCAACTAGAGCACATAAACAAGAACCTTTTTATTTTCCTTTTTACAGTATTGAGGATAGAACCCAGGGATACTTTACCTCTTAGAGATACCCCTACACCTCACCCCCACCACTCTTTTAAAAAAGAATTGAGATAGGGTTTCACTAAGTTTTCCAGGCTGGTTTCAAATTTTCAATCCTCTTGCCTCAACCTTTTAAGTCATTGGAGTCATAGGCATGTACCATGGCACCAGGCTTCACCAAGACCTTTTGATACTACTTCCTCATTTTATCTCAAAAGTACCTACCTTCCTTAATCTCTTCTGCCATGACCCTGGTCAAATCAGCCATCATCTCTCATCTAGACTGCTAGGTCAGAATCTTGATAGTTCTTCCTACAGCCATTCTTGATACTCTTCCAACTTCTTTTCCATATTGTAACTAAATTAGTCCTTTCACATGTAAACAAAAATCATGCTATGACTTTTCCTTTCTTCAACGTGGTCTACAACATATAAGGCTGCTTCATTTTCTGGACACATTCATACAATCCTCTTCTAACCCTCAGCTCCCCAGAAATACCAACTACTTTAAAGTCCTCAAAAGTTCCATGTTCAATCAACAGATATATGAAAAAATGCTCATCATCTCTAGTAATTAGAGAAACACAAATCAAAACTACTCTTAAGACTTCATCTTACTCCAGTTAGAATGGCAACTATTAAGAAGTCAAACAACAATAAGTGTTAGTGAGGGGGTAGGGGAAAAGGTACACTCATACATTGAGATGGGACTGAACATTGGTATAGCCAATATGGAAAACAGTATGGAGAATCCTTAGAAAACTGGGAATGAAACCACTATTTGACCCAGCTATCCCTCTCCTTAGTCTATACCCAAAGGACTTAAAAACAGCATACTACAGGGACACAGCCACATCAATGTTTATAGCAGCACAATTCACAATAGCTAAACTGTGGAGCCAACCTAGATGCCCTTCAGTAGATGAATGAATAACAAAAATATGTGGCATATATACACAATGGAATATTACTCAGCAATAAAAGAGAATAAACTCATGGCATTTGCAGGTAAATGGATGGAGCTGGAAAAGATAATGCTAAGTGAAGTTAGCCAATCCCAAGAAAACAAATGCCGAATGTTTTCTCTGATATAAGGAGGCTGATTCATAGTGGGGTAGAGAGGGGGTACATGGGAGGAATAGATGAACTATTCATAGTGGGGTGGGAGGGGAAGGGAGAAGGCATGGGATTAGAAATGATGGTGGAATGTGATGGACATCATTATCCAAAGTACATGTATAATGACACAAATTGGCGTGAATATACTTTGTATGCAACCAGAGATATGAAAAATTGTGCTCTATATTTGTAATAAGAATTGTAATGCATTCCACCATCACATATAAATAAAAAATTAATTTAAAAAAGTTCCATGCTCTATTTTGTTAGCAAGGCCTTTTGGCAGTCTACTTGACCCTTTAATCACTGGTCACTCAAACTGCCAGGTCTGTTTGTACATCTCTCCCTCAATAAAGTCTGAAGCCATCAGACAGGGCCACATCCTACTAATATCAATTCCAATACTACCATTCTTTTTTCCTTCAAGTAATCCCCTCCCCCCAATAGATCAACTTATAGTATTTCATTAATTACTTTCTCTTCCCCTACATTACTAATTTCATGAGAAAGAGAAACATGTCTGTTTTGTGTACAGTCTATCACCAACACCTTTCATTCTACTTAGTACAGAGCAGGGAGACATATGTGTTGAATTAATTAAATGAAAAAATAAGTTTCTGTTGAAGAACATAACTAAAAAATATATTCTAAGAAGTCATAAAACAATGAATAAAAAATTTCAACTTTTAAAAATAAACCCAGCTGGGGCTGGGGCTGGGGATGTGGCTCAAGCGGTAGCGCTCTCACCTGGCATGCGCAGGGTGCTGGGTTCGATTCTCAGCACCACATAAAAATAAAATAAAGATGTTGTGTCCACTGAAAACTAAAAAATGAATATTAAAAAATTCTCTCTCTCTTTAAAACAATAAAAAAATAAACCCAGCTATCATATATATCATTCCATACTGAAAGTCCCAGCTATCATATATACCCTTCCATACTGAAATTCTATCAGCTTAGAAAGTTTGATGGAGAAACATATCAAACAAAATAAAATCTTCTAGTAAAATGGAGTAGCTTATACTGACATAATTGTATTGTATTTAACTGTTACAAATTCTGAAAAAAATACACAAAATAACTACATGAAGATACTAGAAAAGAATCAAATACAGGAACTAAAAAATACCAAATTTTTATAAAAGAAAATGTACTGGGTAGGACTTGCACTTATACTGATCTTCAGCTAGGGTCATTTTCCAATCTCTACAGTACAAGGTGACTAGAACTCAAAAGAGAAAGACACATTTTTATTTATTTGAGGAGTTACAGAATAAAGTATAGGATTACATAAACAGCTGAAAAGTGAGGAGCACATTCCTGTTAGTAGGGAACCACATAGGATAGAGTTCCAAAATCTGTGCATAAATTCTGACCAAATTCTTGACTAAACCTTGAACTAAAAAGTTGTATGGGAGACTCCAAGCATGGGGTGAAAGAGAGAGGGGAGCAGATGAAGACAAACATAACTGACCGAGATTACCCAGCCTGCACTGAGTAGGGAAGAAGAGTCAGAAGGATGAATCCAGTCAAGTTAACTGCTAGAACCAAAATGAACTTGGTTTAGAGAATATAACAGAAAACAGTCTCTGAAACATATTGATCACGTAGAACAGAATATCTCAGAAAAGCAAGCAAACAACAAAGTAGATCAATTTAACAAGAGACAGGTAGGCAATAGAAAGTAACTCTGAAGATTCTAATATTGAATAAGCACATGAAAGTAGCTCTCCTACCTATGCTCAAGGACTTAAAGGAGAAAATGCTTGTGATATGTGTGAGCAGACAGGGAAACTCAGCAAAGATCATAAAATAAATGAATTTCAAATTATGAAACTATGGTCCCTAACCACAACACAATTAACTTAAAAATAGATAACAAGATGTCTAGAAAATCCCCAGTTATTTGGAAATTAAGAAATATACAATAAAAATGAGAAAACATCTGAAACAAAACTATAATGAAAGTACAACATATTCAAAATTGGTAGGGTGCAGTGAAAGCAGTGTTTACCAGAAATGTTCATACATGCTTGAAGTTGCTATCTTAAAGAGAAAAAAAAAATGAGCAAATACTCCAGTTGCCAAATGTGTAACATAATTTAGAAGAAACACAGATTTTATTTATCTTTTAATGAATCATGTAGAAAAAGCAAATAACAAAATTCAATACCCATTCATATTATTTTCAGAAAATAGGACTAGAATGCTATCTTGTAAGAGCATTGTTAAGAAGTTCACAGATACCATCATGTTTAACAGAGAATACTGAACCCTTTTCCTGTAAAGCTGGGAATACAGCTAGCATATGTGTTGTTACCACTTCTATTCAACTTGTGCTGGAATCCCTCATCAGTACAAAAAGACATGATTTTTTAAAAAAGTATAAATATTAGCTAGAAAAACAAAGTTGTTTTTCTATAAAAATCCTAAGAAATACAGAAGACAATCACTAGAATTTAGAAAGGTAATGGGATATAAAATCAAGATACAGAAGTTGTTATTTCTGTATACCTGCAGCAAAATATTGGAGAGAGAGGGAGAAGGAGAAGGAGAAAGAGAGAGACTGACTCAATTAAAAGACCCTATTTAAGAATATGAATAGGCAAGACCAAGAGAGAATGAGAAAATATTTATAGTACATCCGTCTGGGAGACTTGTATCGAGAACATATCAAGAAGTCATGCAAATCAGTAATTTAAAAAAAGGCAGTTTTTTAAAAGAGCCAAAATATTTTATGAAACAAGACAAATGAAAGGATAATAAGTACAGAAAAAAGTTAAACATCATTTGTTACCAGTGAAATGTAATTAGAACTATAATGAAATAGTTCCATGCATCTCCTAGAATCCCTAATATATAGAAAACTGATGACATCAAATGTTGCAAAATGTGGAAATGGAACTGTCTGTCATAAATTGCTGAAAGAAGTGTAAAATGGTAAAGTTACTTGGGAAAATTGCTGGCACTTTCTTACATAGTTTAATATATCCTATACAAAATACATGTATCTAAGAGAAATAAAAACATATGTCCACAAAAGATTTCTTACAAAATTACTCATAGAAGTCTTATTTATAATAGCCAAACTGAAACAAGAAAACCAAACCAAACCCAGAAGTCCATTTGCAGCTAAAAAGGATTTTTTAAAATGTGGTATACTGGGGCTGGAGTTGTGGCTCAGTGGTAGAGCATTGCCTAGCATGCGTGAGGCACTGGGTTCAAACCTTAGCACCACAAGGAAATAAAATAAAGGTATTGTGTCCACCTACACCTAAAAATATATATATATTTTAAAAATAAGGTATATTCATTCAATGGAATACTACTACTATAGGTGAATTGTGCCTCCAAGAAAGATGTGTTGAAGCCTTAACCACCAGGGTATCAGAAAATGTGACTTTTCTTAGAAATAGTCTTTACAGATATAATTAGGATATAAATGAATGCACATATTAAAACATCATGATGTATACTATAAAATACCAAGTTTTCTGGTACTTTGTTAAGGTAGCCCTAGTAACTAATACAAACTACCCACTAATAAAAAGGAAATAACCAGTAATACACTAGCTGAATCTTTAAAACATTATGCTCAGTGAAATTAGCCAATCCCAACAAACCAGTCATGCACAAACACAGGAACCATAGGACAGTGAATCACTAAGTGGGATAAGACTGTGACAAAGCATGAGGAGATTTCTGGGTTGAATGAAATATTGTCTATCTTAATCAGTGTGAAGTTACAAGTGCATCCTTTTGTCAAAGCTCAATGAACCGCACACTGAAGATCTGTGAAAATACTTCAAGGACATTTGAAGTAAATATTAAACTATAAATATTAAACTCTAGTTAATACACCTGCAGTTTATAGTGGTTTAGGCTAGCAGACCTGAAAATATTTTCCATTATTCTAGGCAGGAACCAAAGAGTAAATATACAGAAGAGAGTGGGAGCCAGGTTTCTCATTATCTGAGACGGGAGTTATGAATAAAGAAAAAGAGAAGACAGCAATAGACCCTGTGGCTCTAGATCTGAATTGGAGGTTATGACTGTGAGCTCACGGTTTGTAATTTGATCATATAGGAATTAATGTATTAAACTGACGTATTTCTGAAAATACAAAATGTCAGGAAATAAGTAAAGGGGGTAAAAATAGCCTTCCCTGATAGAGGACAGTTCCCTAGAAGAGATTCTCATGGTCTGTGTGGTGAAGCTTTTTATTACTAACAGTGTGGGATGTATACTAATTGTGCTGCATCTCAGTGATCACTTCCTAGTGCTGAGAAAAGCAGACTTTTTAGAAAAGGGAATGAAAAATGAAAATATATATTTTTTTAATTTCAGTTTATCTTGACAGTTTTCTTGAGGCTACTCACAGGCTTATGAAAGCATTCTTAGGTGCATATTTACTAATCTAGCTTCAGTCTTTCTTGGATATTTATGTATTTACCTGGTGATTGCTAGGGCTTAGAAGAAAGGGCCTATACTTTTAATCCCAGGTAAGCAATGCAATTTTGCTTTTTGCAAACTAAGGAAAATTAGACCCTTTTTTTTTTCTTTGTTTTCATGTTTTGATCTTCAACCTTCTTCTGTTTTGTTTCACTAAAAATCAGGAGGCTAAACTTGACTTTTATTTTTTTGTGGAATACCAGACAATCTAATACACTAATACAAGTACTGAAAAAAAAAAAGAAGAAAGAAATGATTCAAAATGAATATTTTTCTCCAAAATTATACTAGCAAATTTCCTTTCCTCTTTTCATAACTAATAGTCATGTATACAAAGTAAAAGCCATCAAAACTAGAATACTCATTCTGCTTGATGGTAAGGTACCAAATCAACAGAGAGGTACAGCATCTAAGTAGTGAAATACAAGGGCTCAACTGGTTCAGCTGAGGCTCAGCCTCCTTCATGGATGAAAAGCCAATCTGAGCCAATTCAGCAGATAAAAATCAATGGGAACAGGGAACTGATATGCCAAGTTCTACTGATTTTTAAGCTACAAGTGGAGTGTCCCCTTACCATCCACAGGCTTGACCTCGGCCGGCAGCTGCTCTTCCTGCCCTCCCACGCTGTTCTCTTTAATGCTTTCTATTTCCCGCCAGAAATCCTCCATGGAGGTGCTGTCTACGGAGGCTTGTGAGTTGGAGCGGCAGAATGCAGGAGAATGTAGGGATTCATTGGAGAGCATCCTGTTGATTCTTCGGCAGCGAGGAATGGATTTTCTGAGGAAAGAATAATATTTGTAAATGCAAATTGGTGTACTTATGTTACAAAGTCACAAAAATTTAAGTTTAAATACAATTTGTGTGGTAGAGAGGGATTCCAGGTAATCATCTCCATTCAGTAGCAACCCTATTTTATTCTCAATACTTCATTATGACTCTGTGGCCATATAGGAATCAATGCCAAAATATATTTTGTGATTCTAACACTTTCATAAAATCGGAAGTTAAGCATATATATCAGTCAAAACATGTATGGAAAAGGCTCGTTTCTGTAAAGTATCTAAGACATTGATTGCAAAAGCAGTGACAAAGTACTTGTTCTCACATCCATTAGTACAAGAAATGTTGGCAAGGAGGTGAAGAAATTGGCACGTTTGTGCACTCTTGGTGTGAATGTAAAATGGTACAGCCTCTCTGGAACACACTGTGGTGTTTCTTCAAAAAATTTAAAAAGGTTATTCCATATGATCAGCAATTCCACTTCTGGATATATACCCAAAAGAATTGAAAGCAATGACTCAAAAAAGATATTTGTACAACCATGCTCACAACAGTACTATTCACAATAGTCAAAAGGTGGTACAATGCAATAGATCAGCAAATTATAGTGTACATGCACAGTAGAATATTATTCAGCTAGAAACAGGAGGAGCATTTTGACAAATGTTTTGATGTGGATGAGACTCAAGGACATTATGCTAAGTGAAGTGAGCTAGTCACAAGGAACAAAGACTGTATGATCCTATTTGTGAGGAACCAAGAGTAGTCAAATCCATAAAGACAGAAAGTAGAATAGTGATTGTTAGGGGATGGAAGAGGGAAAAGAACAGCAGTGTTTAATGGGTAGTGTTTCAGATCAAGATGAGAAGTGTTCTGGAGAAGGCTGGTGGTGATAGCTGCACAGCATCAGGAGTGCATCCAGTGCAGCTGAACTACACCCTTAAAATGGTAAATTATATGTTATGTCCACTTCTCATATTTTAAAGTTGAAAAAACCCACAAATCTATTACAAAAATTAACTGCTAAGATTATAAGAGAGTGAGAAAGAAGAAATAATCTGTAACATTAAGTGGAAAAACCTATGACTCAGAATGGAGACCCTTGGTCACTTGGTAAGAATAATTTCCCCACCCTAAGAATAGGGTACAGCTGTTAAGAGTGACAGTGTCGGCTCCTATGGTCACTCACTACCTGACAGTTTCACTGCCAATCTAGGAGTAAAACACCTTGAGTAACTTCATGGGGTACTCTCCTTATGGAGTTGCTGCCAGGACTAAATGAATTAGCACACGTAAAGCATTGAGAACATAAAGTTTCCAATAAATGCTTATTTTAAAAAGTAAGAGGCACATTAAGGTAGACATATGTCAAAATGTTGAAATCCTGAGAGATTATGATGAATTATATAAAAATAAAATGTTACTCTGTGATACATGATTGACAAATATTATATTTCCTAAGAGCAGAATGTCTGATTAACGGAAACACTCTGGTCCCCAGCCATGAAGACTGAGTTCAGTTGTACCTCCTGTTGTTGTTCTCACATGATTTGTTTTTGCTTGTTTAATTTTCAAATTTGGGGGCTGAGGATGTGGCTCAAGCGGTAGCGTGCTCACCTGGCATGCGTGCGGCCTGGGTTCGATCCTCAGCACCACATACAAACAAAGATGTTGTCTCCGCTGAGAACTAAACAATAAATATTAAAAAATTCTCTCTCTCTCTCTCTCTCTCTCTCTCTCACTCTCTCTTTAAAAAAATAATAATAATTTTCAAATTTGGTGCATTTTTGCAACTTCTTTCAAAGAATCTCTTCCTAGCTGGGTGCAGCGGCTCATGCCTGTAATCCCAGCAGCTTGAGAGGTTGAGGCAGGAGGATCATGAGTTCAAAGCCAGCCTCAGCAAAAGCAAGGTGCTAAGCACCTCAGTTAGATCCTGTCTCTAAATAAAATACAAAATAGGGCTGAGGATGTGGCTCAGTGATTGAGTGCCTCTGAGTTCAATTCCCAGTACCAAAAAAAAAGAGAATATCCTCCAAGTTCACTTTTATTTCTGGCTGAGATTACTGCTTAACCAATGTATGGTCTGAGCTATTTCACCCTAAATAAGAAAGAGATAACTACAGCAAAGACACAGTAATGTCAACTGTGGGCATTATGACTCCCTTAAGACAAACTAAATTTTGATATGCAGAGCCGCAGTGGATTATTATCAAGTGTAGTGTTGTAGTTTAGATATGAGTATCACCCAAAAGTTCATGTGTTAGACAATGCAAGAAAGTTCAGTGGTGAAAGGATTAGATTATGAGAGACTTAACCTAATCAGTGGATCAATCCACTGATATGGATTAACTTGGTGGTAACTGTAGGCAGGTGAGGTGTGGCTGGAGGATGGATCTCACTGGGGGCCTGTCTTTGGGGTTTATCTTTTGTCCCTGGTGAGTGGAGATCAATCTCACACTCCCTGTCCCCCCTCTCCTTCCTGATTGCCATGTTCTGAGCTGCTTCCCTTTGCCAAAACCCTTTGCCATGATGTTCTCTTCCTTATGTAGGCCAAGATCTATGAAGTGAGCCCCCTGTGGACTGAACCTCGGAAACTGTGAGCCAAAATGAACTCTTCCTCCTCTAAGTTGTTCTTGTCAATTCTTCCTCCTACAGGTTGTTCTTTTTGGGTCTTATAGTCACAGCATGCAGAGGCTAACTAAACATTAAGCCATGGCCCATGGCATATGTAAAACACAGAGATATGCATGAGAGTACATAAGGAGGGAGGAAATAATGTTTCCATAAATAGGACCAAAAAATCCTATTTGCATCATATTCTCTACCCCTGGGGATCCTTCCCAGATTTCTAAATCACCTTTGGTAGAAAATTCTAGAATTTTATCATTGATCCTTTGATGTATGGTACCTGATTGTAAGTAGTTCTAGTTTTGAAGTTAATTGACAGTAACAGAGACAATTTATGTTTTTAAAATTAAAGCATTCAAGAAAAATATAAAATGTATTTTATGATAAAAATAATTTTAGGCATCTGTATTTGATAATTTGGTGGTAAGAGATTTTTCACTGAATTCTTTATAATTGGACAAGATGGACCCATTCTAGTGGTTGAAATACATATGAAATCAACAAGATAATGAGACAGTTATTGCTCCCTGTATTATTCTTAAGGTTTTTAAGATTTTTTTTTCCTTTTGCAACAGATGAGTGATATCAGTCATGACCAGCTGAGTAACACACTGGTTCATCTAAAACAATCCACCAAAGAATTCTTTAATTGCAATGATCAAGTATTTTTTTGGCAAAGAAGTCAGACAGCATTTTTGAGACAAGCACCCTTGGAAGAGCTTTCACTTTCTTAGTTAGGGATCCAAGTATTTCCCCTTCATCCCAGGGTGGAGAACAGGTCCTGACCTTCCACTCCCAATATATTATATAACTCTGGCCCTCAAGCCCATCCAGCCAGGAGCCTTAGTCTGCAGCTTCATTCCTCACCATATTAGGAGAAAATCCAGTTTAGGCTTTATCAGCTGTTTGTATTTTTTTTTTATTCCAAAACAATACCAGGAAAATGTTACATGGAAAATAGAATGCAACTCTGTGGCACAGCTACTTTTGTTGGGAAAACACCACTGGGTTTAAAATTAGACCTTAAGTGTATGGTAATTACTACATATTCAAAGAGGCAATTATAAAAAATGGGAAAGATATTATTACTCCATGTTTTCTTCCCTTGTCTTTTAGATGTACCTTGTGTTATATTTTAATGGTTTCCAGAGATCTATAAATCATTGCTACCCATATTGGATTTATATTTAATAACGTCCCCAAAATGTAAAGACCTTGCAAAGTACAGTTCTCCCTCCCCCTTTATATGCCTATGTGGTGCTTCTTCACATTTTTATACTTCCAATAATTATGGATGTTACTTTAAAATACTTTTTTTCAAAATTAAATAGTCTTGGATCGCGTGTGGAAACATGAAGCTGTTCACCTACGATCTGCTGAGCTCACATGTGCCGGGGGTGGGTCCTCGTGGCTTCTCCCTATGCCTCCCAGCCACCGAAGTTGGAGTCGGAATCAACCCGGTGGAGTTCAACCTCCACTACGTGGCGAGGATGATACCCATGTGGAGTGGGTGGTGCTTCTGGAGGCGTCTTATGCCTTGCACCTGGTGGAGGTGCCAAAAGAGCTGTTTGAGGGCTACGTGAAGGAGGAGACATTTCTGAGAAAGATGCATCACCTGTTGCTGGAGGTGGACGTGCTGGAGGGCACACTGCAATGCCTAGAGTCTGGACGTGTGTTCCCCATCAGCCGTGGGATCCCCAATATGCTACTGAATGAATAGGAAACCGAGACTTAACTGTGTCAGGCACCAGTTTTACGTTTTGTGACCGTGTGTATTTTTGTTACATATATTCTGTTTGCTAGTTTGGCAGTGTGTATTCCCAGTCCTTGACCCAGTGACAAACTGGCTACAGTGTTTTTGAGCTCCACAGTATATCATTTTTTTTTCCTCATTAAAGTTTCAAAACCAAAAAAAAGAAAGAAAGAAAAACAAAAATGAAACAGTCTTGTAAGTTATCCTTTTTGGTACTCTTCATTCTTTCCTGTGTGTCTGTATATCCATAATGGGTCACTTCAGCTTTGAGAACTTCCTCTAGAGTTTCCTGTCTCATTCGTTAGCATTTCCTGTACTATAGATCTGTTAGTGATATATTCCCTTAGCTTTCTTTCTGACTTTAATTTATCTTCATTTTTGGCAAATATTCTTTTACTGGCCATAGAACTCTAAGCTGGCAATGTTTGTTGTTGTTGTGTTCAAATCCTTTAAGAAAGCCATTCGACTTTATTGGTTCTGATGAGAAGGCGTTCAATTCTTGTTGATGTTCTTCTTAAATATGAAGTCTCTTTTCTGTGGCTGTTCTCAGTGCATTTTTTCCTTTATAGTTTGTGCTGAGTAGTCTCAATATGATACGCCTAGACTAGTTTTCCTC